TTTATTTTTCTTTCTTTCTTTCTTTCTTTCTTTCTTTCTTTCTTTCTTTCTTTCTTTCTTTCTTTCTTTCTTTCTTTCTTTCTTTCTTTCTTTCTTCTCCCTGCCTTCCTTCCTCCCTCTCTCTCTAGACAGTTTTAGTTTTATATTAAAAACGGGCTGTGTTTTTGTATCGTATTTGGAGTGGCCCAATGCAGCATTCCCCTTTCATTTCCTTTCTTCTTTTTTCCTCTTCCTTTCTCTTTTCTCCTTCCCTTCTTTCCTCTTTTTTCACCTCCTTTCCTTTTCTTTCCCCTTCCCTTCCCCCCTTTTTTGCACCTCAGTTCCTTTGCTTTCTTTCTTTTTTCCATTCCTTTCTTTCCCTTCCCTTACCCTTCCCTTCTTCCCTCTTTTTTCACCTCCTTTCCATTCCCTTCCCTTCTTTCCTTTTTTCATCTCCATTCCTTTCCCTTCCCTCTTTTTTTCCTTTCCCTTCCTCTTTCTTTCTCCTTCCCTTTCCTTCTTTCATCTTTTTTTCCTTTCCTTCCTTCCTCTTTTTTTACTTCTGTCCCTTTCCCTTCCTTTTCCCCCTTTTTGCTTTTGTTTCTCCTTCCCTTCTTACCCTTCCTTTTTTTTCCTTTCCTTTCCTTCCCTTCTTCTTCCTCCTTCCCTTCCTTCCTCCTTTTCCACTTGCTTTCCCTTCCTTCTTTTCCTTTCGTTTCTCCTTCCCTTCCCTTCTTATCCTTCCCTTCTTTCTCCTTTCCTTCTTTCCTCTTTTTTCCCTTCCCCTCCTCCTTCTTTCTCCTTCCCTTCTCAAGCCCCATTTAAACCCTGGCTAAATAGGCATTTTCCGCTTCCCAGAGGCCAGGAAGCCTCCTCGATTTTTTTTCCGCTCCAGGAAAACTTTGGGAAAACTTTCGAAGCGGCCAGCGAAATCATTCGGGGACAGGGGCTGCCCGGCCCAGCCCACCCCTGCCAGCTGTGGACACATCCTGTTCCTCTACCAGGCCCAAAAAAAGAGTCACTTCTCCCTTCCTGCCTCTCCCCCCCCCTCCCACTCCCGGGCCAAACCAGAGAGAATTCCCATCTGTTTTTTGGGGAGGAAAAAAAACCCCAAAGGAAGGGTACGGGACATGTTGTTCCCGGCTGGCAAACATCTAACACAAATGCCCGCTTTTATGCCCCACAAGGGTCAGTTTTGTTCCGTGGGATGGAAGGGGTGGGTGGGTGTGTTTGTTTTATACCCCAGCCGCTCTGGAATCAGAGTTTCCAAAGAAAACTGTCTGCTTGTGGGTGAAAAGCACCGGGGGAGGTTTGCCAAGCGAGGAGGAGGGGAGGCTGTGTCAGCCAGCGGTGCAAAAGAGAAACCAAATACTTCACTTCCCTTCTCCACCACTCGATCCCCCCCCCCCCCGGCTCTATAAAACGCCTCCCACACCTTCAGGGCTTCATTGCAAGGGACCAAGGTTGGGGTAAGTGGGTGTGCGGCTGCGGGGAGAGGCCGTGGGGGGCAGGGGGAGGGGGGACACACAACGGACAGGGAGGGAGGAAGGGGTGGGATTTTCCTCTGCTTGGAGGGCAGCGTGGGGGGGCCTGGAGGAGGTGGGCTTGGCTTGGTCCAATCTGTGAATGAAGATTGGGGACCTTTTGAAAGACAGAGCCGGTAGGTAGGGGGTTGACAGGCAGAAAAAGAAAGAAAGAAAGAAAGAAAGAAAGAAAGAAAGAAAGAGAGAGAGAGAGAGAGAGAGAGAGAGAGAGGAAGGAAGGAAGGAAGGAAGGAAGGAAGGAGGAAAGGAAGGAGGGAAGGAAGGAAGAGAAAACTTTCATAAATAAATGGATGGATTACTAGATTAGATTAGAGTAAGGAAAGAAAAAGAAAGAGAAGAGAGAGAGAGAAAGAAAAAAGATGGAAAGAAAGGAAGGAAGGGAGAAAGGAAGGAAGAAGGAAAGGAAGGAAGGAGGAAAGGAAGGAAGAAAGGAAGGAAGAGAAAACTTTCATAAATAAATGGATGGATTACTAGATTAGATTAGAGTAAAATGAAAGAAAAAGAAAGAGAAGAGAGAGAGAGAAAGAAAAAAGATGGAAAGAAAGGAAGGAAGGGAGAAAGGAAGGAAGAAGGAAAGGAAGGAAGGAGGAAAGGAAGGAAGAAAGGAAGGAAGAGAAAACTTTCATAAATAAATGGATGGATTACTAGATTAGATTAGAGTAAAATGAAAGAAAAAGAAAGAAGAGAGAGAGAAAGAAAAAAGATGGAAAGAAAGAAATAAAGGAAGAAAGGAAAAAGGAAAGGAAGGAAGGAGGAGAAATCTTTCATAAATAAATGGATGGATTACTAGATTAGATTAGAGTAAGA